TGAGATGGCTCATTAAGACCAATCTGGGGACAGACAAACAGACACAGCGAGGCAGGGTGACCAAGAAAGCAAGGGTGCATCAGCTTTAAGTAAATAATCATGATGCAGGATTACAAAGCGGGCTTACCCAGTACCCCAGACTTTCAAAGGCCCCAAGCCCCCTTGGTTTACTGTATGTCAGCTGCATTTTGTTTGAGCATTTTATACCTTGCTTGAAAGCCAGCAGTACAGAGAAAGAGAAATTAGGGGAAAAAGAAAGGTGGCATGACATTCAAAGGTCCCTGCCTTTCATGTTTAGTGCCTTAAAGGGACAAGTCATCCCAAAATCAAAAACGCATATTGTTTCTCTTACCTGTAGTGCTATTTATCAATCTAGATTATTTTGGTGTGAGTTACAGAGTGTTGGAGATATTGGTTGTAGAGATGTCCAATTTAATGAAACTAGATGGCACTCAGCTTGTGGTGCTCAAAGCTTTGAAAAAATACATTTGAAAACTCAACAGCAATGTCTCTTTCCAGAAATCATGACCTGGTTACTCAAGATAATTCACAGACCGTGTTGTGAGCACTTTCATGTAGGGACTATTTTCTTTCTACTAGACCACACCTACCAGCTGTATCACCACGCAGAAGGAAGCGCAGATCTACTGCTAGCTCACCTAGCACCACTGAGCTAGCTAATGTTACAGCTCAGTTGATCAGGACGCCATTAATGTTTACATCTCGCGCTGTCCCCAGCACAAACCTCTCATCCACGAGTAGATGTACACTTCCTTCTTTATGGTTATACATTTGGTGGGTGTGGTGTTGGAGAAAGAAAGTAGTTCTTACATGAAACTGCTCACAACAAGGTCTGTGGATTATCTTGAGTAACTAGGTCAGGATTTCTGGAAAGACACATCGCTGTTGAGTTTTTCAAATTTATTTTTTTGACGTTTTGAGCACCACAAGCCAAGTGCCATCTAGTTCAATTATATTTGAGAGAATTCAGACATCTATACGACTGATATCTCCCATGCTTGGTAAATCACAGCAAAATAATCTAGACTGATAAATAACACTAAGGGTAAGAGTAAAAATATGTATTTTTGATTTTGGAGTGAAATGTCCCTTTAACCCCAGACCACCAGCGTGCCCTGGATTTTGTTTTGTTTTTCGATTACTTGCAAATTTGTTAGCGAAACTGCATTATTAAAGGACAATATCAACTGGTCCCTGCATTATTACACAATGCACTTTTATTATTTCAGTCTATATTATATCTAGATATCTACATTGTATTCTATACAGTGCCTTTTTCTTAAATAAAGCTGTGTTTCATCAAATTACCAGAAACTTATGTACAGAAAACCTGGGGGCATGTAGTATTCCAGGAGCTAGAGCAGCACTGATTAGTTGATTCATTGATAGTTGCTTAGTTGAGCAACAAAAAATACACAATTTTGATAAATGATTCATGAAAAGTGATTTTTCTATGCAAAATTGGTCAAAATTCACCAGTTCCAGTTTCTCAAATTTGTAGATTATCTGGTTCTCTTAGTTGCCTTTGATAATAAAATTAATATCTTGGGGTTTTGGACTTCTGGTCAAACAAAGCAAGATATTTGGAGACATGTCTTTAGACTCCAAACAATTAATCAATGATTCCAAAAAATTCTTGGTAGATAAAGCCATAAAACAAATCCTTTGTAGCAGCCTGAGAGAGTGTACCTATATCAGTTTTGGTTGGTCTGTATGCAAAATATAAAGAAACTGCCATCTATAATGTGCTGTGTGCACTGTACTTGATGAGTACCAGAGGCCCAAACAACAGCAAAGGTGTCTCCAAACAGGTGAATCTATCCATGCATCACTGCTGTTTGCTTGAGCCCAGACTCATCACACTAACCCCTGCAGCTGGCTCTGCTTCATCACCTCCCTTCATCCTTCAACAACACACATCACGAGGACACAGCCTGCCAACACCACAAAGCTGAAATCTTCCAACAGCTGGGACCCTCAGTGGAAAAATGTCTAAATTCACCTCTGATTGTGTAAAGAAACACCGACTGGATGTGATCAAAGGAGCAGCAGACATTTTGAAAAACACTGTTCAATTTGATGTCCGTGCCAAACACAAACACAAACACGGACACACCCACCTCTACGTAAACAACAAAGCACCACATAGAAGCACCACATAATCACATGTTCATAGTGAAAGCATGTACACGGTATACAAATAAATCCCACTCACACAAATAAACACACACGGACACACACAATTTGTGATGAAGACATTGCAACTCTTCCATCTCACGTTTGAGTCCTGAACAAGAAATTGGCTTCCAGCTACGTCAAAAACGCCATCCAGTTTAAATCTAGCATCCAGCCTCATTGCTAACAGATGTGTCTGTTTACAGCTAATGTTAAGTATTGTTGTTTGTTGCTTCATTGGGGCGAGCTGCCAGAACACCATTTATGAGAAACAGTCTAATTTTCCACACTCTCCACTTTGAGAGGAGACTTAAAAATGCCATAATGGCTATAATGGCCATCCTCGAGGGACGGAGGGGATCGGAGCCTGCCAATTCGTCAAAAAGTGCTCTGTTTACTTATCTTACAAGGGAAACTTATGCTCTGACCGCTAATAGCTGCTGACTGCAGCTCACCCATGGCTGTGTGTGAAAGGAGCCGAGGGAGTGTGTGGATGTACTCGATGACAATAAAAGGCAAGGATGGCCGTAATGGCTCATAAAAAGTGTGCCTGGGTACAGTCGGGGAGTAAATTTGTGAACATGAGCTGTGCGATGTGCAAATAAATGATGGGAGAGTCACGTCAGGTCAACTCCTTTTATAAGCCAATCACATACAGTGTCTCAATGGGCTTTACAAGCCCACAGGTTCCCGACCCTGCTTGAGCTTTCTCATACAAGGAACAGATTGTTTTAAACAGACACAGCTCAGAGCCCCGACCATGTGATTACAATGTTCCTGGTTGGGGACATCCTATCATTTCCTGTCAGCTCTCTACTGTCCTAATAAACATAAATATCCCAAAAGAAGTGCGTGACCAATGGCTGGATGATGATGTACAGAGCTGTAGATGTGACAGGTAAGCCTACTGCCTCTTGTCCAGTTAGTGGGCATATAGCATTTGGATTATAATAGGTCTTGTGCTCTATTTGGGTACAGAGGGGTATACTTAGGCCCCCTTTACACCTGGCAACATACCTTTGGTTGATCGAATTGCAATCGGATAGTGCTTGACGACATGAGGATGAGGATGAGGATGCATTGAGGATGGATCCTGACTTGCCAAACCACCTTGACCACATTGAACACAAGTGTGAATGCAACTGTTTTTAATCAACATACACATGCTATGTTCCAAACCAGCATGGTAGTAGCCATTAGCCAGTTAGCGAGCGAAACTACCAGCAAAAAAGTTGTGCTGTGAGAAAGCTTGAAGATATATACAAATTTGACAGTTTTCATCCATAAAGGTCACCATCACTGTCCTCTCCCACCAGTCTTAACTGCATCCAGATCATCCTCTAGACAGTTGTGGCACTGACCAAAGCTGAAGTAAAAGCAGCTGCATAATAGAACAGTTTCCAGTTGTTGAACACGGCTCCTCCCCTGTTTCGAAAAGCAAGCAAAAGTTCATACAATTTTTGGTTGTTCGTTTGGTTTTTATTTATTTTTTTTTTAATTTCATTTCATTTTTTAATTTTATTTTTATTTCATTTTATTTTATTTTTTTATTATTATTATTTTTTTTCTATTTATTTATTTATTTTTTGGACCTGCACAAACAAGAGGAGTGATGTCTAGTTGTTTGAGCTGGACAGAGTGATCAGATCTTAATTGGATCTCAGTGCTGACACAAGAGATGTATATTTATACCAGGTGTTAATGTAATCAGGTTAAATCATATCTAGAAACAATCTGGATACAAGATGCATTTTATTGTGAGGTTTAAAGGGGGTCAAATTTGATCTCTTAGTGTCTTTATAATAACTGCGATGAGTTCATAAATATTAGGGCGATGGACAGAAAATTTATTGACAACAATTCTTGCAATCAGTTAATCTTTCAAGTCATTCATTAAGATTAAAAAAAAAACACTGGCTGATTCCAGCTTCTAATACATGAGGATTTTCCTGCTGGGAAGCTGTGATGGACATTTCTCCTTTATTTTCTGACAGATTGAAATTGAAAGTAGTCTTTAGTTACAGCCCTGCATGCCCTGCTTTGTCGCCATTGTCAAAGGTGCAGTCAGACTGCAGTCACAGCCTTTCTTGAGAAACTTGCTTGTCTGATTATACAATAATATTTTACCTGCAATAGAAGTTCTAATCAAAAAGGAATGGAAAATCAATGCTTCCTGCTGATTCCTACAAGCAGGCAGTGAGCAAGTTAATGACTTTCCCTCTGTCTCTTCAGTGTACGCACACACACTCCTCACGGCTGTCTATTTCTGAGACTGGTAATGTCTGCTTCATTTATCTTTGTCCTTGCCAGCGCCTCATCCACCTCATTAATCATCACTCCCCCCCCCCCCGAAAGAACAACTCAAACGCACCCTGCAGGTTTGATTGATCTGCTGTTGATTCTGCAACAGGCTCATTGTCCTCAAAAGTGGCACTAGCATGATGATGACCAGCGGCAACTCAGCGTCCCTCCTGCTGCAGGAGCGAGGTCTGCTAAAAAAAACATCCCACATACTTAAACTAATTAGATCATAAAACAAGCACAAGCAAAATACTGCAGAGAAATAAACACACTAGACGCATGACAGAGATGACAGTGATGCACAATCAATAACTGGAACTATGTGCGTATGAACACTGAAACAAGGATGCTGTGCTGACATTTAAAAATTCTAAGTCCCCGTTGAGCGAAATCTACTCAACTATTGTGCAGAGTGAAACCAAGCAGGCTGGAGTAGGTTAAAGCCCCAGTAAACAGAGCAGTGAAAAGAACTGAACTGGCTCTTTGTGAGTGCTCATTGGTACCTCTTTTGTCCTGCCTCTGGTCTTGGTTTTCTTCTGATGGAGTTTCCATGGTTGTTTTTCTCCCATCCAACAAAAATGCTTCCTTTCAGCAAATTCTCTCTTCCTTTCTGCCCCTCACTCTCCCGCTCCCTCTTTCGCTCACTCTTCTTCCTTCCTGCACGTTCCTGCTATCTCTCTCCTCCACGTTCGCTGCCTCACAAAGGCACCGCTCCACTGTACATCACACCTTTCTGGGATGCAGAGGTCTTGTTAGAAGAGATTTGGTTGTGTCCCGGTCATATATCACTTCCAAACCAGATCTGAATGTGTATCTGTTTCAGTCTAATTAATTTGTGCTCCTATTGACACACAAATCTTGGTCCCCTCTGAGGCACTCCTGTCTCAAACTTGAATAGCCATCCAGTGAGAACAGGGTTGTTGCACAGAGAAGGTGCAGATGGGTGAGGAGGGACCCCTACTTTAGTCGACTGACAGGGTGAAAACCTACCAGGGGCAGAAAGCATATAGGCGCACAATCACCTCTCTTTATTTGCATCCAACCACAGTTTAAGAGAGGGGGAGTAAGTGTGTGTGTGTGTGTGTGTGTGCATGCTGCTGTGCGTTTGGGGGGGTTAGCCCTTCATCCTCTGATTGGCACCATATGCCCTCTGCTCTTGCAGCATACATTAGCAACCTCTGACCGCTGTCTTCCCTCCATCTGGTGGCTTCTAACTCACATAAAAAAGGGACACAGGAAAGAAAGGCAAATCTACATTTCCCTAACAAGGTCACAGAGCGTCCTCTGGGCCGGTGCAAACAACAGAGGAAACGGCATGTGAAAATGGAAGATCCAGAGAATCATGAAGGACGGAAAGATGAAGAATTTAACCTGATAAAGTGAGGGAGGAGTGCGGGAATGCTCAGAGGATGATACAGTGAGAAGCAACTTGTTAAAAAATAAGCGAGGGATGAGCGCAGAAACAGACAGCAAGGGAGACGGGGAAGAAGATCTTGGCTGTGTTTGTTTGGCAACAGCAGGCCGAGGAGCCTCAGGGGCATGCTAATGAGAGAAAGGGCCTTTCAGGAGTGGAGGGTGGGGGGGCCTGCTGGAGCGGAGCTGGAGTGGGGTCTTCTCACGGATACCAGACCTCAGAGAGGAGGGGGATCAGCAGGGGAGGGCAGCCTCAGGGGTCAGGGAAGTGAACTTAGCGGGGATCCCACAACAACAAATGCTGCACTAATCTTCTAGCTTTTTCACCGTCAGCCCTGTAAAACGCCGGGAGGACTGACATCCCTGTGAAGTGGGGAAGGAACGACTCCAGCCCATATGTAGACGCGATGATGGTTTGAACTTTTTATGAGCAAGAACACAGCTGATTTTAAGGTAGCCGTGCTTGTGATTCCCGAATTCATTCTACCAAAGAGCTCAAGTGAAGCTAAAAAAAGTAGCTGATACACAACTAAATGTGTCACATACTTCACCACAGAGAGGCAGATCCAAGTTACTGAGTACAACCGAATCAAAACAAGCCAGTGACTCATCTGCAGCCTTTTTAAAGAACAATATATTTCAGTTTATTGCACATATGCAAAAGGAAATTCAAAACATGTGACCAGGCTTGGTCACACTGTGTTTTCAGACTTACTTTGATGCATTCTATAATAAACAAACATCTGTGTTAGATTGTAAATAATGACAAATGTACCCTGTAATTAAAATCATGCGTTTTGGCTTACATTATTAAAAGGAAAACACCACCTAATGGAGAAAACCAATATGTCATTTCCATGGCCTAGGGAACTTCAATCAGTATTTGCGAAGACAAGCTCTCAACACCAGACACCAGAAAAGTAAGTTTCAAACTTGGGATGTCATCAAGTATAAAGTCCGGAGCTGCTTCATAGACAGTGAATGGGAGTCTGTTATTGTGGACCCACAGAATAGCTTGATTTTTGAATCAAAGATGAAGAACTGATTTCAAAGGCAGTTGCGTACTGTATTTAGATGTATTTCGTCAACATATATTTATGTAGAAAGTCCAAATCCAGTATTAGAACTCATTTAAAGTTGTAATTCTGCCCAGCTATTTTGGTTGGAATGAAAATCTGGTTGAAAATATTTTAATTGTCTAATGATGTTAGAATTTTACAATGTGTGAAAACTTCAGACGCTGACTTTTGTTGTCCATATCTTACAACTAAATGTCATTACTCTACGTGAGCTTGACGTTGACATGAGACATTTGGAAGACGTTGGATTTTGGTTACTTCACAAGTTAAAACCAACAAAATGTCAACATCATCTGTCGTCAGTATTCTAAGTCAAACTGATGTTGGCATTAGACGTTGATTTTTGTTCACCTGACAACCTAAATTCAACCAAACATCAACATCTAACTACATCAGTAGCCACCTGATGAATTCAACATTCACCCTGCTTTAAGCTCTGTTTTGGTCTCCACCAACTCTTGAGAAAAATGTCTTTTTCTTGTAGTTAGATGTTCAACCTTATGAGCAGGTGATGTATTTTTGCTGGAAACAGCTGGCAGAAATGGTCGGTTTGGGGGTTCTCACCCCAGGAAATTGTGAGCGTCACTTAACTTCCTGCACTCTGTTTTTTTTTGTCCAAATGTGTGCCTTTTCTGCACTGATTTGTGGTGTAAATGTCTTTAATTTCATCACAATAAAAGTCCTCTGCTTCATGTTTTTATTGAAAGAGACAAATGTACATGTTCTAATTGTTGTGGTGGATATGTTCACCCCTCCACCCCCACCCCAACATCTACACCAATGCTTTGTGGGCTTATCTCTATGAGCCCCTTTCATTGTAAGTAGTCATGTGATTTATTGACAAAAATCATTTAATGACCAAATCTTACGTAAAGTGGTACCAGATGAATGGAGCATGAAAGGTATTGTTAGACTCATAAAGAGCAACAGACTGATTGGAGCTCTACCAAAAATACTGTGACAGGCTGAGTGGCTGTGGGAATATTCGTGTGAACGTAGGAGGCGAAGCCTGAGAGCTGCATGCTCAGCTCCAGTGTCGAGACAGCGCCACTCCCCTACTTGAGGACACAATCTGAATGATGATGAAGCTCATACAAATGGAGGAGGCTTCATTGTGGGTCAACCTTTCACGCTGTGAGACTGGGGGCCCTGAATGCTACTCAGTGTTCAGTCACCCGTGAAGACCTGCACCCTGCTTGGCTCACACCGAGGAAGGAGTTCTCAGGGATGCAGGTCTGTGCCCGGGCCCAAATAACCACTTACGAACACTGACAACTGCCTGAGAAAGCAGACTGGCCACACCAGAGCAGATGAGGACAGATCAAACCGTATGAGGTATGACTGATTGTGAAAGGCCGAAGTCTGCGGAAAAGCAGAAGTCAGCCAAAAAAGAAAGCAAACTGGTCGTCAAAATACCCCTTAATATTCTGCTGCTCTCATGGAAAAAGCTCTAACATTCCCTTCCCTTGTACATGACAGTGATTAGTGATACTTTGGAGACAGAAATTTTTATAAACAATGTTTTGGCAATTTGTTGAATATCATTCGTCTGATCTTTTGCGGCATTACTGTCCTAGATTTAAATGCAGGCCATCTTTACAGGTCAGTCTGCTCTGTATGTCTGCCTTCATGTTTGCCATGCTGAATCCAAGTCATTGATTGGTTTACAAAAGCGGCACACTACAAACCCATTATACAGATCCATTCGCTTTGGCTGACCCATTTTCCTCTGTGAGTCTACAGAATAACAAAGGCATTACAAATTCTGTATAATTTTTTTTTTTTGCATATGATTTGTTGTACAGTCAATACATCAACATGCACGTCTCAAAGTCACCCCATAAGAACACCCAATACTTCCATTGAGTTGTATTCCTGTTTCCTAAGAAAAGAAACATCTCTGCAATGGAAAAAGTGAATCTGCCAACTGTCTTCATCCATTAGAGCAAAATATGTTGACTGTGAGAGGGAAAACCACAGCGAGCTGACTTATAATGATCCTCGTGCTTCCTTTTGGCTCTGTCAAAAAGCTATAAACTAAGAAAAATCCCTTTTTCTCCGACATCATTGTGAGCAGGAAAGAATAAATAAATAAAAAAAGAGGAAACTTCCATAGAGGGAAGGTTACGAGATATTTTTATCTTTTACGGTACCATAAATAAAGGCTTCTCAACCGTTATATTTGAACTTGAATGAGTGCCTTGGATGTTTGTCTCTTATTGGACAGTTCAAAGGTCCAGTGTGTAGGATTTGGTGGCATCTACTGGTGAGGTTGCAGAACTGAAACTTCTCCACTGTGCCAAGCGGGCAGGAGAACTACAATGGGTGATGTGAGAACACAAAAACATAAATGGGGTGGGGCAGCAGTGGCTCAGTCCATAGGGACTTGGGTTGGGAACCGGAGGGTCGCCTGTTCGACTCCCCGTCCGGATCCAAAATATGGAACGTGGACTGGTGGCTGGACAGGTGCCAGTCCACCTCCTGGGCACTCCTGGGCGCCCTTGAGCAAGGCACTGAACCCCGCAACCGCTCGGCCCCCTCACTCTGACATCTCTCCACTTTGTGCATGTATAGGTCCTGTTTGTGCATGTGTGTGTCTTTCGGACCTGTGTGTAATTGACAAGCAAGAGTGAAAACATTGAATTTCCCCTCAGGGGGATTAATAAAGTAAATAAACTAAATAAACTAACTAAACTAAACTAAATGGCCCTATGTAGAGCTAGTGTTTGATTTGTCCGCTCTGGGCTACTGTAGAGGAACATGGCAACCTTCTTGGAACAGGACCCACTCCATACATAGATATAAACAGCTCAAAGGTTGTTAAAAAAAAAAAAACAATCCTTATTTTCAGGTGATTATAAACCAATGAAAACGAAATTATGAATATTGTATACCATTTCTGCCAATAGATACCCCCAAATCCTACACCCTGGACCTTTACAAGGGACCTTTTATGCTCATTTTCAGTGTTGTATTTTGGGGTTTTAGGTTTACATGCTTAAATGTTCAAAAAACTATTTTCCTCATAGCATCTGTGCTGGAAAACCTGTATTCACCCTCTGTCTGAGAAGGCCCAGTTTTAGCGCCTGTCTCTTTAGGCCCCCTCCCGAAAAGCTTAGTCTGCTCTGATTGGTCAGTGTTTCCGGGTCTTCCATATCCCGGCGTCCCTGTACTTTCATTACAGCTGGGGGAATGACTAACGCAGTATATTTTGCTTAACTTTCTAATATGAAAAATCTCCAATAAAAGCTTCTAAACCAAAATCCTTATAACTGGACATGTTCCAGCAGGAATACGATCCGAAATTGGAGAGATGTTAATAATATCAGCAACCAAGATTACATGTTTCCCTGACGTTAGCATGTAGCTATATGTAGCAGTGTATGTAAGGTAAACCCATGGAG